ATAATGCAAGAACATAGATCATTGTGGCAGCAACAGAGGCTTCAGATAATTTCATTAGCCTGTTCTGTGTGAGCAGATTCTATTTAACCTGTCCACTGGTAGCTTTTTCCTATTGTAAATAAAATTCAAGGATGTTAGAGATGGAAATAATTTTCTAGATGATAATATATCTTTCACTTGAATGGTACTTTTACAAATTATTTTCTTACTTTCTGATCCCAGCCTATTTGGGGAATAGGCAGGGAATATTACTTCCATTTTAAGAAACAGGTAGCTTAGGGATAGAGTAGATAAGTGTTCTGATACTTAATAACTGAAGCATGAATAGAACTTGAGCCTTCTGCTTCCTAGTCCCTGGCTGGACCACTTATCTCTTAATCCCAGCCTGTGCTACCAATGCCAAGTAGAATAAATACCCAGAAGCCTAGGAAAGATGCAAATGTTCGGACCCTCTCACGTTGACTGAGGACTCCCAACTTGCAAGTGGCAAATAACAACTGTCAGCACTAAAATGGTTGGTTTTGGTGGTAAGTATGCAGTATTAGTTCATCTGGGATAGCTTTCCCACCTAATCCCCTAAATTGGTGCTGCTTTGGGCTGTCTCATGACCTGTTCTGAGTGACTATGAATGGCCACTGGTTGAACATGTATTGTCGGTGGCTGTGTGGCTGTGCTTCTCAGGATTGCTGTGTTCTCAGCCATGGGGAGGGTGCTCAGGACCATGGGTGAGTCAATGCTCATTGCACATGCAAATATTTTTTAGAAGTTTCTGGTCTTCACTATAAAATATACAAATTATTGGTATCATTGGATATTCATGTTTATTTTAATATTTTCAAGTACTTAAAATTATTTGTCATATAGTAAATTACTGGCTTTTGGAGATCTATCATACTTAACCTGTAAATCTGCATATCCTGGACTTATCGGGACAAGCCTTGTATCCACACTAAAGAAGTCTGTGCTTCTGGGATATGTTTACTTCTCTGAATGCAAATCTTTTCACTTGTGATCCATTTGTCAGAAGTCCTCATTGGGACAACTGTACTTAGTTTGTTGCGTACAAATTTTGTTGGTGTTTTCTGCTCTTTTTTGTTGGCTTAGTTATATTTTACTCATCCTATTCAAAATCCACTATCTTCTGTTCCAGTAGATACCAGAATGAGAGAGGCAACATGACATGGAATATGTTTTAGGAGTCTGAACCAGGGATTAAGTTCTATTTTCCTTCTAGTATCATGTGTATTACCACTGGGCACTCTCTTCTTGAAAACCTGTGAACAGGAAGGTCTCTAGATACTCATCTAGTTTTGTCTTCCAGAAGGATAAAACCATTTCTAATATGTAGTTGTTTATCTTTTAAATTTTGTTCACCTTTCTGATTCCCAACTTTTACTTTTGCATAATGTATTTATAAATATTTATTTATATATATATATATATGATAAGGCAGCCTTTTACAACAAATGCTATGATAGCTCAAATCTCTGCATAATAAAACAATTGCCAAAGCCCTGTGCAATGACCTAGGTGATATAGTATATATAAAATCCCAAGATATTTTTTAAAAAACATTTTGGTTAGAACTAACAATATTGACTTCCTAATAGCTTAATTTCAAAGGCTAACTGACAACTTTAAAGCAGTTAAGTCAAACCCTACACAGCCACACCTGAGTATACCAGTCTAAGGTCAAGACATCAGCTAGCCATCTCTATGCACCCTGTTCTAGTACAGCCCTGAGGAACAGGAGAAGGGAAGGACAATTAGAAGAATTAGTAACTAGTAGCTTGTTCTCTCAAATCTGTGCGTATGGCTCTTCCACCTCCCCATAACAGTAAGCAAACATATACCAACCCAAGACACACAGGCACACAGAGACACAGGCTCATGACCTGCACATGCCACACACATGCACACACATGTACCTTAGACCTTAGCTCCTAGACCTAAAAGGACTAGGCTGAATAAGGGCAAATAATGGTTTGTGTAAAATCAAAGAGGGCCTGTAGCTGGGAGATTCCTAGGGCAGCTAGCTCCCTCTAGCTATAGATAAGGTGATTAAAATTCTGGAAGATAAATGACATGACCAGGGACACAGAGTATCTACTGACAGCTCTAGGGGCATATCTTCTGAGACCCAGTTTAGTGCTTCTTCTAGTATAGCATCTCAAGCACATGGTGAAAAAGGCATTGCCAAAGGCTTGTATTTTATGCTTTTACTGTTTGAGGCAGATTTTTTACAGTTTATTTCAGGTTTTACATATAATCCATTCCCTTTCTGATAATGAAATGTTAGATTTTTAATCCAGCTGTACATAAATCTCTTGTAAATGGAGTATATAAACCATTAGATTAACATTCTCTGATGTAGACAGGATGAAGTTCTGGGTAAAAAGTTTATGGTCAGTAACTACTTCCTTGGGACTGGGGTGCCTGGATGGCTATAACTGTGTTGTCAGGGCCTTACCGCTGCCAAGACTTGGCTGAAAACTCCTCCCTCCCTCCTCTCCTTTCTCCCTTTCCATTGAGTTTAGTACCTAAATGTATCTAACAACTGATAGAGACCTCGTAATACATTGTATATCTGGATATCCATGAGGCATTTGATAAAATATCCCCAGAGGTCCTTGTAAGTACCATGGAGAAATGTGGACTGGGTAGAATAATGCATTTACTTAGATTTGTATTTACTTGGACAGATCTTTCCTGAACGTGGATTATCGGTTTGATGTTAACCTGCAGGAATATTTATAGAGGAGCTGTGCAGAGCTCTGCCTTCAGACTTGTCTTGTTCACAGTTTTTATCAATGACTTTCATGAAGACATGTTTATCAGATTGGCAGCTGACATAAGCCTGGGAGGGACAGTTAATGTGATTAGTGTCTTGATCTTGAGTCAAGAAAACCTTGATAATCTGAAATGGTGTGCCATAAATAACAGGATGAAAAATAGTAAAGATAAATACAAAATCTTTAGGTTTAAAAATTAATTGTACAACTTCAGGGTAGGGAGAAGTGGAGGATGTACTTTGTCACAAATTCAATATAAGTTAACTTATGATAACACAGTTGAAAAATATAGATGATATTATAAAAGCACAGTGTGCAGTTCAAGGGAAGTATTAAGTTGAGCAGACCACATCTGGATCACTGTATCAAATAATCCCTCCCTCACATGGGGTACCCTAGGCTTGAAAGATTATTAAATAATATGTCTAGTAGAAGGAGTTCAGTGAAAATATTTAATTGCAAGGTGAGATATATAACTTTTGATACAGAGAACTGACTATTTCAAAACACATCTTGGGAAATTGTTAAAAATCTAGAGAAAGCCCTGACCTTTGCTATCTCCTTCCTGGCTCTCTGACACCCCATCACTACTCTGAAAGGAAGACATTTGTTATCACTATTAAAACAAAGCTACCAAAACAAAGGTGTCTTCACCCTGGTTGGTGTGGCTCAGTTGGTTGGAACTTCATCCAGTGTACTGAAAAGATGTGGATTCAATTTCTAGTTAGGGCACAAAGCCAGGTTCCAGGTTCAGTCCTCAGTTTGGGCATGTATAAGAGAGCAGCCAATTAATGTTTCTCTCTCTCAAAGCATGAAAAAAATGTCCTCAGGTGAGGATGAAATATATATATCTCTTTCCCAAAGGTGTCTTCTTTATTTCTTTATTGCTATCCCACTCTCCAGGTTTTACTGTATTGTGAATTTAAAGTGTTTTAATGGTACTCTCTTTATTGGTAAAGTAGGCTTCTGCAAGCCCTATGGAGGACTTGAAAAATGAAAACAACATTGTGTGTACATACACGTGCTAGTCTAATGGTTGAATTCATTTTGCAAAATTAAAAATGAAAGCATTCTTTTAAAATTCTCTTTTGCAGTTAGCCTGCAGCATAGTATTTACTGACAGCAGGAAAAGGCAGTCAGTCTTTTATGCATGTCTTACACTTACCTCCTTTTCAATTCCCTTCCCTTCACTCTGGAAAGAAAAATATTCTGGCATGAGTGTCTTTTCATCGTCTCTGTTTAGAACGGGTACCACCTGCCTCCAAAGCCCAGGGGAGCGCTACATGTGTTCCTGCCCAGGCACGCCACATGGTTACGTGGACGCTGTGCCAGGATTACTTGCTAATAGGCTGGGGAGAAGGGGAGAGTCCAAACGGGGGAGGGGAAGTGCTGAAGCATCACAGAGCCCTTAGCCACGGTCACCTGTTTATTAGCTAGTTAAGGCTGCCTGTGGTGTTATGAAGGGAGAATAAAAGACATGGAGCATTTTACAATCTGTCAGGTGGATGCAGAGTAGGAGTTGTAACTACTACTACAGTTTCTCTTCCTTCTCTTCTTTGAGTCCCCTGAGTTCATTGTCCTTAGGCTTGGGGAGTGGGGAAGCTGACTAACCATTTGTCATCTGTAGCCCAGTATCTATACCCAGTAAGTTGACTCTTCAAAAGAAAATAAAACTATGGCATAATTTCCTACCATCAGTTCCATTGTTTTTCAGAATCACAGCCCTATTTATTGCCTGCTTTAGCCACTCACAGCTTTACAAGAAGTTCCTTTTAAATTTCTTGTGGGTTATGCAATCATTGTTCCCTAGGAATTCAGAGTGCGGAGTGTTCATGTTAGTACATATTCTGGCAGGGATGCCTGGGCTGGGCTGGAAAGGCAGGCTCTGCTGAAAACACAATGCTGCCCATAAATACACCCTCCCTGTCTGCTTCATTGTGCCCATTTCCCACTTGGAGCTGTGGCCCTCAGCCTGGCTTCTTGCTTCTCTGTTCCAAGTGTAAGAAGTGTAAGTATGCATGGATATCCCTGGAAGACTATCCTTGTAAATTCCTTCTTGGCATCAATGAGTTCAGCAAAGGCTTTTTTTCAGTGAGGATCTTTCCATAATGAGGACTGAGCCTCATGAAATGGAGCGGGAGGGACGCCAAGGAAACTCGGACTGTCTTCCTTAGAATTCTCAATTTTTTGAGGACCTGCGCGCAGCCTCTCTTGGGGGACCCTTGAGCCACCGCCGCCACCGCAGCCGCAGCCATGCTCTCTGTCCGCCGTCTGCTCGCCACCCTCCCAGGCCCGCAGCAGCTGCAGCAGTCGCCTTGTTCAGCTGTCAAGGGGCTCAGCATGGCGGACAAGGAGAACACGCCGCCGGCCCTCAGTGGCACCCGCGTGCTGGCCAGCAAGGCCGCCCGCAGGATCTTCCAGGAGCCGGGCGAGCCGAAAGCGAAGGTACCAGCCCTCAGCGTGCAGGACGAACCGCTGCTGAGAGAGAACCCCCGCCGCTTTGTCATCTTCCCCATCGAGTACCACGACATCTGGCAGATGTACAAGAAGGCCGAGGCTTCCTTCTGGACAGCGGAGGAGGTGGACCTTTCCAAGGACCTGCTGCACTGGGAGACCCTGAAGGACGACGAGAGGCACTTCATTTCGCACGTCCTGGCGTTCTTTGCAGCCAGTGATGGCATCGTGAATGAAAACTTGGTGGAGCGGTTCAGCCAGGAAGTTCAGATCACAGAAGCCCACTGCTTCTATGGCTTCCAGATCGCCATGGAAAACATACATTCTGAGATGTACAGCCTCCTCATCGACACTTACATCAAAGACCCCAAAGAGAGGGAGTTCCTCTTCAATGCCATCGTGAAGATGCCTTGTGTCAAGAAGAAGGCAGACTGGGCCTTGCGTTGGATTGGGGACAAAGAGGCCACCTATGGAGAGCGCGTGGTGGCGTTTGCTGAGGTGGAAGGAATCTTCTTCTCTGGGTCTTTCACATCGATATTCTGGCTCAAGAAGCGAGGGCTGATGCCCGGCCTCACATTCTCCAGCGAGCTTATTAGCAGAGATGAGGGCTTGCACTGTGACTTTGCGTGCCTGATGTTCAAACACCTGGCACACAAACCTTCGGAGCAGAAAGTAAAGGAAATCATCATCAATGCATTTAAGATAGAACAGGAGTTCCTCACGGAGGCCTTGCCAGTGAAGCTCATTGGGATGAATTGTACTTTGATGAAACAGTACATTGAATTTGTGGCTGACAGGCTCCTGCTGGAGCTGGGTTTTAGCAAGGCTTTCCGAGTGGAAAACCCATTTGACTTCATGGAGAACATCTCACTAGAAGGGAAGACCAACTTCTTTGAGAAGAAAGTAGGCGAGAATCAGAGGATGGGGGTGATGTCCAGCTCCACAGAGAACTCTTTCATGCTGGATGCCAACTTCTAAATGAACTGAAGGTCTGCTCTTTGCTGATTTTTTTTTCCTTCTGAAAAGAAAAATTAGCTGCTTGAAGTGTTTCAGCCCGCGACACCACAAATTGTCCCTAATGTTTGTAAATGACCTCTTTATACCTGTGTAGCTACCACGATGTTCGTCCTCCTTGTTAACGGTGCTATGGTGTCACCTGGGAAGAAAGCATAGCCGAAAGCTGCTTGGATTGTTAGGAAAGACCCTGTCCCAGTTTGGTTCTTCCGAGCAGGCGGGCGGCGGCCCAGGCCGGTGTGCCTGGGCAGGGTTAAGCATTCAGATACTACCACAAGGCCATGGGAAAACACCAGCCTCACTCCTTCAGAGCACATTTTAAAGTTTATTTGTATATAAAACTGGTAGTTCATAGCTTGTATTGTTAACATAAACGCCCTACTGAATGAAGCTCGCTTGGGTAGTTTGTACACCAAGTGCAAAGTATTCAGTTAACTACTAGTGCGACCCAGCTCAGAATTTACCAAGTGACACAGATAAGTTAATTTGTGTGATCTAAGTGTGCCACTTCTATTTTTTATTTTTCCTTCATGAATTGAAGTGCCTTTCCATCCACTTTAAGTTCAGTCCCGTGCGTGCCTCAGTAGTTGTGGCCGCCACACTGGTGGGCTGTGTTTTGTATCTGGAGCCCACATTAGGTGTCATGGGATGGGACAGAGGGGAAGGCACTTCTGACTACAACCTTCAGGCACCGAAGTGTGGTCTGTGCTGCCCACTGGTGACCTGCGTGGGTGTCATTTTTCAGACTGCGTTTTCCCCAACTTCAGTTAGTGTGAAAGATCCTGGAAGATTCGTATTAGCTGGGATCTAGGATAGGATGGCAAACTGGTTTTCACATCATCTGAACGAAATGACCCAGCTAAGATCTTGCTCCTGTTAAGTGGTAAAACTGGGACTGAGATTGGCCCAAAAAAAAAAAAAATTCTCAATTTTTTAATTGGTAAAATGTGAATAATAACATTTATCTCATAGGACTGCCAACTTATTTTTTTGGAATCAGATGGGAAATAAATATCACATTTCAAAAATTCTAGGAGTAAAGGATCCCCCGCCCACACACATTTTTGTATATCTGAAGTCAGTATTTCTCTTAACAATCATTATCATCCTTCAATTATTTGACAATATTATTTCCTTTTCTAATGGTAAATAATAATAATGCAGCATCTTTCAAGCAGTCATGAAATATGGTTTAACTGACCAGGGCTGATGCTGGATTCAATTAAGTAACATGAGGACTGCAAAGCTCTTACGAATGCCTGTTTCTTTTTGTTGGGACTGGGCCCTTTATCTTGTGCTTTGTTAGTGGACAGCATAAACATGGATAGAGGTTTGGACTCTTTACTTCCTAAATGATATCTGGGTATGCTCATTTCTTCCTCCTCTTCCTTCCGTTCACTGGACATACAGGTATTGAGCACTGGTGCCCCTGGCAATGTGCTAGGAGCAGGATTTTTAGAGGTGAAGGATAGTTTTTGCCCTGAGAAAGTTCAGGGTCTAGTGGAGAGAGACAGACCAGTGAACACACACTTAGAAGTCATTGTGAGGAGCATTGCAAGGTCCTGGAAGAACACAGAGAAAAAGCCCCAGCTCATTTGGGGATGGGGAGAGCAGGAAAAGCTTCAAGAAAGAAACCACTCATGCTGAATCCTAAAGGATGATGAAGGGTCAACAAGAGAAGTTCACAGTTGGCTCTTTTAAGAAATTACAATAGGGGAAATAGTGCTTGTTCTCATTTGCAAAGAGGACTGCCTTAGGTCTCAGCCTCATAACCTCCATGCCCAGCTCTGGGTTTAGCCATAGATGGCATGGAAAGAATCATGCAAGCTCAGATTCACCTCTGCTGCCAGGCACCACCTGTCTACCTTCTAACCCGTAGGCTTCTCCAGAGCTATGGATACTCTGAAGGCCCCTGTCCAAGAGCTTCTTTTGAAGTATAGTCCTCAGCTAAGGGACTATGAATACTTTATAAAACACCTTTACTTTCACTTTTCTTCTTTTATCACTCCCTGCGTCCTCTCATCTTTCTGGGATCAACTTCCCCCAAACCTACCTGCAGCAAAGTCTTTGTCCAAACTCTGCTTTTAGAGCAACCCAAGTAAATTCACTACTGAAATGATTTTCACAGTAATTACTTAAAGCTTGTATTGAGGAGATTTAGAATATGCTGTAAAACTGGCTGATAAAGTGGGCCCAAGAGATGAAGAAGATGAGTAATTCAAGGAAGTCAGTTAGACAAAGACAGCCAAGAGCACATGCATTTCTAAGCCTTTCATGATTTATATGGTAATAAGCAATTTCAACACGTTTAATTCAAACCATCAAGGCCATAATAATCCAGGTGAGAAAGGAGATTAAGAAGTTTAAATTGCCAAGTAAAACTTTCAGGCAAACACCTTAGTAAATGAGCAAAGGGGAAGAACTTGTAGAAGAATGAGTGAGTTGAATGTATGATACTGAATTTCATTAGTAATGAATAGAAATAATTTGGTCATGGTTATATGTCATTGATGTGTTACCAATCAGAGGTCAGAAGAAAAATATCTCCTTCATTCATGTATTTGTACCTAGTAATTAAAATTGTGTGAGTATAAGGTTTTAGATTGCAGCACAGTCTAATAAAACTTCTGGTGATGACAGAAATGTTCTGTGTGCTGTCCATTATGGAAGCCACTAAACACCTGGGGCTGTTGAACTGGAGTTGCACATGAATGCAACTGAGAAACTAGATTTTTAATATTAGTTAGTTTTAATTAGCTTGAATTGAAATAGCCACATTGGTGACCTCATTGGACAGTGCAGTAAACATAGAGCATAAGAAGAGGATACAAAATACCTAAGGCTCAAATGTAACCTACAGGAAAATATGGGGATAGTCCCTGGACCCAGGGCAAAAAAAGTATAGCTTACCACACACTGTAGGTCCCAGAGGCTCCTCAGGTCCCAGGGATCCTCCAGAGGGTCTGAAGGCTGTCGGAGAGAAGGCCTATCCTAGCTGTCTGGAGGACACAGTGAGTTTCCAAAGGCTCTCAGTTGTTGCTGTGAGCATGGTATCTTTCTTAATGTGTGTACCCATTACCGGAGGGCAAGTAGAAGGGGGCAAAACTGCTCATACTTTTGAGGGGGCTTGGACTTCTGGAAGCTGTTTCCCTGATTTTTAGGACTGCCCTATCCGTCAGAGACTGCTCATGTTCCAGAAACTGGTAGCAGCCCTGGAGTAGCCCTGTCTCCACCTCTCCGTCTGCACCTACTTAACTCGGTGGAAGATTAGAGGCTGTTTCTTCCACAGGCACAGAAAACCCATGGCCTTAGTGCTTCTGCTTGAATCAAACTTACAGGGTGCTCATCCTTGAACTATTTGGTTCTTCTTCACTTTGTTTTTATTCAGCTTCTACTGAGATCTTATTTCATAGATTAATCAGTGGACTTGGCGTTGCCACTTCTTCTATGTAGTGCTGAGCCCCACTGTCTTTCACTATTCTCCTTTGTAAAATGGGCATCCTTGCTCATGAGGCTGTTTTAAATATAACATGAAATAATGAGTGTAAAAGCAGATTGTAACTGTTAAATGTTATTTTGGTGGCTAACTGTACTGTACTTGATTAGGATGTATCTTAGTCAGCATTTTTTGGTATGGTAGACTTAAATACCATAATGAAAAATAGGAAAATGCTCCCATGACATGATTTTAATGTCCTCTTCATACTCTTAAGATTTAAACTGGGAGACTGGGCTTGAAATATCTTCCCAGGGGCAGGGATTGTGGCGATGAAGAGGATAGTTCTGGGGCTTTTTCTACAAAGGGCCACATTTTAGGCTTTGTGGACTATATGCTATCTCTTTTGCTGCTTCTTTTCTAAAAACCATTTAATAATACAAAACACATTCTTAGCTCCTGGTCACACAAGAAAGGGCCCTGGCCACATTTGGCCTGCGCCCTAGAGCTTGACAACCACAGCTCTAGAGCTGCTCTGTTCAGTCCAGGATGGTAGCCACTAGCTGCACGTGGCTAGGTAAATTTAAATTCATTAAAACTGAAAATATAATTAGTCAATCATAATAGCCAAATTCCAAGTGCCTAGCAGCACTTGTACCTGTGGCTACTGAATGGGTGAGCACAAATGCAGAGTATTCCCAGCACACAGGAAGTTCTGTCAGGCCACCTGATCTGGAGTGAGGTGGAATCCTAATTTGGCAACTACCTGGTTTGATGGACTGAGACTGGTTGTTTATTCTTTCTGAGCCTCTGTTCATGAAACTGTAAAATGGAAATTATTGCATTACCACTCAAGGATGTGGTAAGGATTTAATGAATATAAAGTACTTAGCACAGGGCCTTGCCATGCTCAGTAAATGTTAGCTGCTAATAAGATACAGGCACCTACATTTCTGTTACTGTTAATTCTAACAAAGCTTTTTAAAATTTATATTTGGAGGAAGGGATTATCATCCTTTTTTGCAGGACATTCATGAAGTATGAGATTACATTTGGTTTTGGTTTTAGTAGTTCCCCAGTGTAAGAAAACTGCTTTTCTAAGTCCTGAACAGTGTTACCACTCAGAACAGGTGCCTTCTTGTCTTTCATTTTTGTGACTTGTTTTCAATTTAAATTTTGATTTACGTTAGTGATCACCCTGTGGTAATTTCCTGAAAAATCCATGATAAATATTTGTTCAGTTTAGTGGTGGGGTAGAGATAAAGGTTAGCTCACAGGGGGGATACTCTGCAATCAGAATTTCAGAATAAATTATTGTTTTATTTTTGCTTATTGAAGGAGTTCTAGCCAACACTATATTGATTAGCTTCTCCTCCAATGCTAGTATATTGTTGCTGAGCAACAATACTTCTTTCATATATTGTAGTGATCCAATGTTATGTCAGAAGCCAGTTTGTGGGGTCATGGGCTTCTTAAGCCTGGCATTCCTTTCTTTCACTTCTCCATGGGCAGCTGTCAGCCATATTTATATCATGTGAATGTATGGACAGCTCACTCTGAGCCAACCCTTTGCCTTTCAAAGGCAGCATAATCTGCCTTTGTCCTTCCTGAAGAGAGATCATGATCTTCACATGCTAATATTATCAGCTGATAATGGTAATATTTTAGTAATCACAAATGAACTGTTGATCAGTTGAGTTTTATGATTTACACACTCAACCATTGGGAT